GGGAGGGGTCTGGCGGCTGCCACCACCCGCGAGTAGCAGTTCCACGTTTGAGAAGCGATGCGGAAGGAGCGGGGCTGGAGTTTCCCCGGCGTCCTGGCGCTGGAGCGCAGATGTCTGAGCGGTGTCGGCCCGGGCAGGCCGGCGTTTCGTAAATACGCTGTCGGGGATTCTGGGTGTCCGTGCGAAAAGCTGCCATTGCGTTAGTTTGCAAAACAGCGACATTGTTATCAAAAAAAAAAGCAAGAAAAAAAGCTGCAATGGCCACACAAAGTTGGCACAAGAACTTTGATGTACCTGCATTAAAGTTTCCTTCAAAGAATCTTTCACAGCTTGTGTTGTCCTTCGTGTCCCTCTGCCAGAGGTTATCAGCACCACAGATTTCATAATATGGCACTGGAAGGCTGAGGAACTAATGCATGTGGATGTTTTTTCTCAACTTCTGGTGGGAGGGAATGGTATATGCTTTAGAGGAAAATTTCTTGGGTTACCAACTGTGAATTCCCAGCGTGCACCTGGAAGTAATAGAGGGACTGTTGCTTGAGGGGTCACTTTTCTCTCCCAGCTATCAGTGGTGACCTCCTCCTAGATTTGACCAAAAGGAGCGTATGCTTGTGCTGGGCCTCAGCCACTTCATAACTTAAATTCCGCTTTCACTGTCAGTGCAAGGGAAGGTGTTGGCCATCTGCTAGCTACTAATCCATACTGGAATGCAGGCAGCAGCAGCTAACTCTGCTGTTGTGATCTGACATCGCAAAACTGATGCTTTCTTCTTGGAAGTATATATTCAGAGTATTCACACACTTGGCTGTTGCTAGCGTTGCATCCCAAAGATAGCCAGAGGACTTTCAGCTGTGTCAAAAGTATTTTTACAGTCTGGAGACTGTTACTGATAGTGGTACATAATCCATGACCAAAGTTAAGACAGCTTGAACTAGAAATCTGAAAAACATCCAGTTGTACAATACCATGCTTCGTCACTCCTGCAAATATAATGCTGCATATCAAAATGTGCCTTCCAGGTGGATTATATTTGGGATTTAGGCCAGTCTGCTCTTAAACAAAATGTAAACTGTCCATTTTCCCTCCATAAATAGCATGTCTGATTTTCCTCACAGACATACGGCCAAGGGATTGAATTAGCCTGCCAAAAAGAAAGAGAGTTCGTGAAGCACTCTGTAGAATGCACGTGGAACCTAGCAGAAGCCCAGCAAAAACTTGGTAGCTTAGCACTGCATAATTCAGAATCCTGCGATCAGGAATATGCTCAAGCAAAGACTGAAGCTGCGGAGTTGAGATGGAGAGAGGAAGAATGGAGAAGAAAAGAAGAAGCACTAAACCAGAGGGAAAGACAGAATCTATGGAACGCAGATCCCGTTAGTAAGGAGGTATTTAATAAGGTATGACCCATATCAGTGTGCATGAAAACAAGTGTTAGCCTTTTTTCATTCCACTTCTTACTCTTTGAGTGTCTTCTGTGTCCAGTACAGCACAACACCACAGTATATATTAAATGGGGTTTTTTTTCTTACTTTGCCTCATGAAAGGGGGAAAGCTGCACTCATACTACAAATCTGGATGTCAGTTCTCTACTAGAAGTGCAGATCAGAGCTTAGCATGGGTCATACAGGTATTGGATATGAGCTGGCAATGCTCTCTCACAGCCCAGGCAGCCAGTTGTATCCTGGGCTGCATCAAAGTACTGGAGTACTGTGTCCAGCTCTGGGATCCGCACTACAAGAAAGGCATGGACCTGTTGGAGCGGGTTCAGAGGAGGCCACAAAAAGGATCAGAGGGCTGGAACACCTCTCCTGTGAAGAAACACTGGGAGAGTTGGGGTTGTCCAGCCTGGAGAAGGTGCTGGGGAGCACTTACTGTGGCCTCTCAATACTTAAAAGAAAGACGGAGAGAGAATTTTTTATCGTGGCCTGTAGTGATAGGACAAGAGGCAATGGGTTTAAACTGAAAGAGGGTAGGTTTAGATTAGATGTAAGACAGAAATTTATTATCAGAGTGGTGAGATACTGGAACAGGTTGCCCAGAGTTGTGGATGCCTGATCCCTGGAAGCATACAAGGACAGGCTTGACGAGCCTTTGAGCAACCTGTCCTAGTGGCAGGTGTCCCTGCCCACGGCGGGGCTGGGGGGATGGAACTACCTGAGTTTTAAATGTCCCTTCCAACCCAAACCACTCTGATTTTATGTAGTGCAGGTGTTGCCAAATGCACTGAACAACAGCGTTCTCCACATGCGGAGTGTGCTTCTCTACTGTGCCAGATTCTTAAAATGTGAAACTGCTAGTTTGCCTCTAGTAATGACTACTGCAATACAGATTATTTAGTGCAAACTTTTTTTCTTTTTTTTGATAGTAGAATCCCAGCGTTGATTTCACAATTTGATTTGAACAGCTAGCGCATCTCCTAATTTCCCTGATTTAGCTGCATCCAGGCTGCAATGTATATGATTCTCATTGTGGACAGATCAGTAAGTTCCTACCTGAGGACAGAAGTGTCTCAGAGTTATTTGGTCAGTACACTATAATGAGACTTTCAAACTCTTAGGTAATGCACTTTTTTAAAGAAAACCTTCTTAAGTGTATCACGTGACTCTAAAATTAGAACATAGCCCTTTAAATAGTAACATATTAAAATATAATATTCTTATATACCACAAAAACGCATGTCTGGAGTTTCTCTGATTGTACAATTTTTCTCTTCCTCAGAGTTTTATTAATCAAAAAAGAAAAGAAATAGAAGATGAAGATGTGTCTGAACCACTTATGCAAAAACATGAACAAAAGATTAGACACTTTGGTGAGTGTGCTTTTTCCAACATTTCGCAGTTCAAACTTCTCCAGAATTTGTATAGGTTTGCTCCTTATTGTACAGAATCAATGCTAACAGATTGAAGACCAAGGCTAACAGACTGTTCAGCTTTATTTTATCAGGACAGATAATAATTTCAAAGAGAAATGAGGTTTAAACTGCTGAAGCTTGTTAGTTCCCGTGTCCCTTAGAACTTAAATTAAAAAAAAAATATATCAAATGAGCTTAAGCCCTGAAAACTAAAGTTCTAGCAACTTTTTTCTGCTGTTCAGTGGGAAAAGGCAGGGACATTAATGGAAATACGAGTCATATGTATAGAATTGCTTGGGATTGTCCATAGCTGTCTCCTTTTAATAAATGTTTTTCTGGTGGCTACTCAGCTACAAGGGTAATGACTGATTAAAGGGAAATGTCTGTAAATGCCAGCGAGAGCACGTGTGCATGGAATTGTGTGTTTCCTAAAATTGCATTTAATTATCCACTAGGTGTCACTTTACCTCTGTCATAATTGTTGAACCCAACTAAGCACAAAGCTGATCTTATAGGTGAAGTAATCTGTAATTTTGATGTTTGTCTGAACTGTATTCAATTCTGTTACAGGCTGCTTTCAGACTATAGTATAGCTGTATTTGGAATTTCAGAACAACTAAAAACAGGACTGAGTTTGCAAAATTCAGTTCTTTGTAGAAACCTGTTTTTTTACTAAGCTATTTGGCTTCTAAAAATCTTAAAACTGTTTTAAAGAAAGGGTTTCTAGCCCCGATTGCCTTAGCAAGCCTTGCAAGTACCAAGCTGAGGCGCAACACTGTCAGGGTATGCAAACAGCAGTGACAGGCATTTTAGATACCTGCTAAGTATAATGACAGCATTATATATATTATATAAGGCATCTCCCCTGCTGTGCCTTTCAGCAGAAAAAAACCAGGCAGGCGTCCTAGCTAAGAGTTGGGCAAAATTACTTTGTCGTCTAAATTCAGATTAAGCTGTTACAGAAACAACATTACAGAAGGTCATCAATTTTTTTCTTACCTAAATTCAAAGCCATGTTGTTGTTTTAATTCAAAGTGTGTTAAGTCCATTGTACAAAGGGGTAGTATATTCATGCTCTTTCAAGTTTCTTTTCTGTGCTAGCCGCTGCCAAGTGTCAGTGTGGACTTTGCTAGCCATATTGCTTGAGTCCTGTTTCTGGTTCCTGCTCTGGCTTCCCAGCAATAAAGAACTTACACATGATCGCCCTCTTGAAAACAGCCAAAAGAAATATGAGCCATCGCTTTCTTTGTAGGCATCTGTTTGCTAGAATTAAAATCAGGTTAGCTCATTACCACTGACTTGTCTTTAGCCCAGTTATAATTATACACCAGTAGATGGGTAAAGCTGTACATCTGGTACCTGCTGCCAGTAATGACTCGACTGTCAGTGATACATGAAGGACAATTTTAAAAAGTGGTCAGAGTATCGAGTTCTGATTTTAAACTCAGAAGAAACTCTGTTTACATGAACATAGCTTCATGCTATCACAATTCAATCTTCTAGATAATCTTCCAATGCTGATGTGGCTGTGCTTTTTGAGATCAAGCTGTTCCTGTCATTTAATTCAAATTTCCTAAATACCTAGCAAATCATGTGTTAGAAGCACTTTGATTTTTGACAGATTACATTCTTTTCTTTGCATTCTTATTTGCAAACATTTAGAGGATTTGTGTTTGTCAGAATCACTGCATGTAAATCTCTGTCCATAAACTACTGATAATGTAACTAATAGATACCAACACCACTTTGTTAGTTTGTACAAGAACTGATAAAATAATAATTTACCAACAATGTTAGAGATGCATTAAAATATAGGAAATTGTGGCTGTTAACATCTACCTTTAGTATCTTCAAAGTCTGATTATACCTTCTGGTAATGCTCTTTCAGCGTCAGTTAGATCCATAAATAAAACACTCAAATTTAGCCGCATGCTGTCATTCTGAGGCTAGTGAATTGCAGAGGTGTTATGTATACTGGGATATCAATGCAAGTAAGTTCCTCGCTGCATTAAATCATTTATCCATTTAGAGTATCTTAAGTATGCTTCTCTTATTAGGTATGCTGAGCAGATGGGATGATAGTCAAAGATTTTTGTCTGATCACCCATATCTTGTATGTGAAGAAACATCTAGATATCTCATGTTGTGGTGTTTTCATCTAGAAGCTGAACAGGTATGAAGATGTTTAAATTGTTTGAAAGCATACAGCTTCCCACTTGCACTACAGAAAAGATGACCAACTTGATTAGCTGTGTAACTTCCTCCCATCCTCTCTACTGAAGAAAAACTATAGTGCATAGTCATGTATATGCCTAGCTATAGCTAATTATCAGTCCCCTTGCTTCTGTAAGCATCAGTTCTCATGTGTTCAGAAACGAGAACAAGAAGAAATTATGCTGAATTTTAGAAATATTATCACAGGAAATATCTTTAAATCATAACTTCAACTTTTTTTTCAGAAAAGAGCTCTGATGGAGCAAGTAGCACACCAAGCAGTTGTAATGCAGTTTATTATAGAAATTGCCAGAAGCTGCAATGTGGATCCAAGAGGCTGTTTTCGTCTCTTTTTCCAAAAAGCCAAAGTAAGTCAGCTTGGGTAATGACGGGAGAAACTCTTGATGCTATACAAGGGACGAATGTTTTAGAGCAAGCTTCTTCTTAACCATGAGCGACTAATTATTTTTATTGACTGACTTAGGCTTATGGGAAAGTGTTTTGTTAGCAGTTCTTTTCCAGACAGAGTATTTTGGTGTAATTCCAGTTCTGAAAATGAAAGTTTAGTGGATTTTGCTTGTCCCAGAGTAAAAGCAAGATACAGCAGGGGGACAACAAGGGTGTTATTAAGTAACAACAGCAAACATAGCACAAAACAGTCTGTAAACTGGTCTAATTATAGGTATGTTTTCACATTTTACTTATGTATTGTCACAACTTTCCATTTCATCTGCATTTCATGGTGGGGCCCAAAGTAGTGTCCCTTTCTCATTACTGAAACAGAGCAATCAAGAGCTATGCAGGAGAAATACAGGAAGACTGCAATTGTGGTTTGTTGCAGACTGTATTTAGTTATTCAAGACACTGGTGGATCTCAATATGGCCTAAAAGAGTTCAGTTGAACTGTGAGTCAACTGGTGCTTTACTCTTGACCATAGTGCTACAACAAGGGTACTGGTTTCGAGTTTCAATAAAGGAAAGGGTAACATTAGATTTATTTTTACATGTCCTTAGATAAATCAGTTACTTTGCTTCTACATAGAAACACTACAGATCATCTCAAAAAGAAATCTACCCAAAACTTCATTTCAAATTGACTAACATTATTCTTGAGTTGTTCACAGTTGTTATTTCTCAAAGGGTATAGCATGCATTACTGTGTGATTTTTTTTCAGCACTATGTATGTTTACAACTAAAAATTAATCTAACTGAAATGCAAAAATTTAATTTTTCTCTTTGCAGACAGGAGAAGGCTATTTTGAGGCTTTTAAAAATGAACTAGAGGCATTCAAGACGAGAGTGAGAATCTGGTCACAATCACATGGCTTTCAAACAATGTTACTACATGATCTCAGTGTCAATCCTGGTCTTGCACGAGAGCTGACATCTTATTCACAGGTAGGTTTATTATTTCTAGAAATTAATTTAACTAAAGTGGGATTAGGTCCTGCCTTGAGAAGCTGTACCTTTCTGAAACATAGAGACTATGCTAGAACTGTTATTGTGCAGGATATAACATGCAGAACCATCAATATGCAAGGCATATATGGGCTTTCTCTGTACTTGCTGGAATTCAGAAAGCATCAGCATAAGGTTAAAAGCCCTTAGTTAGTTCAGTGCCCTTATATTTTCATGCTTAAAATAAACAGTGCATCATAAAACTGATCAGGTGTTAGAATTGTATTCAGTCTTTACCACAAGCAGTGAAATGAGCTTTGAGGGTACAATGACTAACCCTATTCATGGGATCATTCAGGTAAGTCTCCTGGAGACTAAGTCTGCGGAAAGTCTCCTGTTTTGCTAAAAGGAAACTGAGGGTACTTAAGTCTTTTGTTCCAGTGCTGGTGATGGCCATATTCTGGAATGAAGAAGCAACTTAAAAAGATTGTCAAAAATTAGATACAAGGGAAGGAGTCACAACTGAAACTACTTACTTGAAATAATTTTATTAAATCACCTCTCAGGTAAGATACAACAGCTGAGTTTTAAGTAAATGCGCAATCAACTGCTAGAAATATTGAGACCAAATCCAAGCTATGCCAGCAAATTTTAAGAATTCTTGACACAGTGAGCTAACATTAGTTGACGAATTTTTCAGAGCTTATTTCCTTATCATTGCAGATTTGTCTCACCTTAACAACACAAAGAGTCCAACTGAAGCTAAAATATATCTTCTGTTTCGCTCTCTCTCTCTCCCTGCCTCCTCCCCCCCCATATGTACAGTTACGGAGAATTAAGCTGTCAATTTTTCATCTGTTGCAGAACACAGGTGATCTTCAAGGTTCCATAAACACAGATGTCTGCAGTTTAAACTCTGTGACACAAAGAGATGAAGAAGAATCCAAAATGATGGACACAGTATAGTACTCTTAAGACCGAGGCCAAGTACTCTTTTATTTTTTTTCCCCTTTTCTTTTTCCCCAAAGAAACAAACATGGCTATTTTCTTGAACACTTATTTTTCTGGGTACTGCACTTTATTTTTGGTGTCAGATTTTTTTTGTTGTTGTTGTTGTTTGGTTTTAGGGGGGGAAAGGATTTTGAAGCGTGGATAATTCAGAAAAAAATTGTAATATTGTTTGAAAATGTGCTGCTAGATTTTTGGTTGTCCTTGAAGAGCAGGGTTCTCATATTGCCGAATGTGAAACTGGATGTGTTTTCTGCTACTAACCTTGCCTTTCATTACTTTAGAAATTAAAGTATGAAAAAACAAAAAACAACAAACTCTGCACAAATACAATGTTTACAAGAAGAAGTAGATTCTTGGTAGAATCTGCTATTGTCTTACGACAGATGTGGACATGTTTTACTCTATGAATATTGGAGATCACAACTGTATTCATGCTACCTTGCTGACATTATAAGCTCTCAAATTTGGTTATCACTAATAGCAATAAATTAATATCTGGTATCAGTATTTCAGATCTCAATGGATTAGATTAAAACACTGGCTTTTTCTACCTCTACTAAGGGGATATAACTGTCACATTGTGCTTTCATTAAACAGAACTTGTTTTTGTCCTAAAATGTAAGCAATGCTTGTCTACATAAGAGTGCTGGATTGTGTGATTTCTGAGTCTGACTCTCTTCTTGTTCATAAGGCTAACTTAAGATTTTTTTTAACCAAGTCTCAGTGGAGTGGAGAAGTATTGGATGGAGGGGATGGAGGGAACTTGAGGTACAAGGGTTAGGCTAAGACTTCAGTTTAAACAAAAAGCTTTGTTGCAGTTCATACAAGGTAAGGTGTCAGGTTTGAAAGGTATTTCATATGCCTTAAACTAAAATGGGTTTCTGATACTGCCAACTCAAAACAATTAAAGTGGAAAATCATTAAAAGCTTCCTGTGTGAGGAGCTGGAAATCACAGAATGGTTTGGGTTGGAAGGGACCTCAGGAGATCATCTAGTCCAGCCCCCCTGCCAAAGAAGGATCACCTACACCAGGTTCCATAGGAAAGCATCCAGGCGGGTTTTGAACATCTCCAGAGAAGGAGACTCCACAACCTCTCTGGGCAGCCTGTTCCAGGGCTCTGTCACCCATCCAAATACTATTTCTAGACAAGGCCTTCCACAGAACCTCTGCAATCCAAAAGTTCTGCTTTTCTATTGTGCTTCTATGACAGTAGT